TTTATTTATTTATTTATTTATTTATTTATTTATTTAATTATGTATTTATTTATATAGAGAGAGAAAGCCGCAAAAAAACGTGAAAAAGTGAATTCCCCGCCAAGTTACACCCTCCCCCTCTCAAGGGTGCAAAACTTATCAGGTTGCCGCTTGAAATGCCTATCTTTGAAAATTTGTAATTGGCCCGATCTTAATGTATTTTAACGATATTTAAATTGGCGTATTTTTCATGCCCTGAAATTTAAAATGTCCTGAACAGCGAAAAAAAAAAGAGACTATCAGGTACTGCTGTGGCTGAATAAACATGAAGACTTATTTTTACTACATAGACAGTAAGCTTTTATCCAGGTAATAAGGTTTTTCAAAGCATTATATTCTTTTTTTTTCAAGTGGTTAGGTTTTTTTAGTTATAGGTTTTTTTTTTAATTAATAAGTTTCTTTTATGTAAAATAACAGCATGCTGAAGTCACATAGTTCCTGGTTTTAGTCGACCCCTTAGTTATTGGGGTCCTCTGACATCCGACATCTTCCGTTGTCGTAGTTGTTTGGCAGGCGACATCCCGAGTCATAGAGTTCTGCCAAGGAACACCACACTGCGGCCTCTCCATCCGCTTTATTTTTCTTTCTATCTGTAGGAATTTTAATCTTTTCAGTCTTGTTTTCTATTTTATAATAAGCTAGCGGGACGCAGAAGATATTTCGACTTTTCCTCTCGTCATTACTTCCAGTCTTAGTTCAGTATTCACTAATTTTTACTAGTACTTTTTAAAGTTTTCTTAGCTACTAAGCTACTGTATTTTTTCCTCCTGCCACTTCATGACCGCCTTTCTCTACTACCTATGATTAATTTTTCGTCCTTCTTACATTTTCTTTAAGTACTTTGAAACGCAAATGGAACTACGATACATGGACACTTAACGAAGTTATTGCAGTAAAATTGTTAAAAAGTATGTGTAATAATTTGAAATTACTCTCATAATTTAGCTAAAATCTCAGCTGAAAATGAAAAATACCACATGAAGTCGCAGAGACAAACAAATAAAACCCTAACAAACTATACAATAGCTGCAATATCATTTACTCATGTTACTTAGATGTTTAGCATACTTTTGAGGATCATCTCCGGATGTCTCCGTAGTACGCAATGGCATTGCGCCAAATTTGCTGGAATTTAGCCATAATGAACGACATTTCGCTTTAAAAAAATTTCACATCAAACTGGGATTGGAGGGCCCTGTACATATTTTATATTCATATATATAAGAATTTAAATTGCACATTTTTTTTAGTTGCACTTGCGTTTTTCATTATTTTGTCGTCAATTATCTGCATCATTTAGATAGCCTCTGTCGTTGAAAACCTTGCTGAGAAACTTCAAGAAGATGAATTGTCTACAGATCGACCACCAACTTTTCAGTGCCCGTTACCATGTGAGTATAGGCATGACTTGTGGCGTTATCTTTTTATTGCTTCTTGTGTTTTGAACTGTATGTTAGCACTTGCCGTGGTTCCCTTCATCGTTAAAATGATCCGAGCAGATCGGGATGAACCCTTGATTAGGTAAGTTTCCCGGACCTACTAACTTTTGTTTTATAATATTAACTGAGCATTGTTGTATTTAAGGGTCTTTCTCGTCTTTGTTAGAAATGCTTTTCTCTGATTATAATTTCTGAGTGTTCTGGAAATTTTACTTTCTTTTTTTCAGAATCTATTCAGTTGGCAAATTTCCTTATTAATAATACTACATAAATTATAGTTCGGAATTGGATTTTTGTTAAGATCAGAATTTGAATTCATCATCGTTGTTCCTCTACATTTGAGCAATGTTGTATTAAAAGATCTCAGCAACGGTATTTGGCGGTAATAATTCTAGGTTTAAAGGAATACAGCTTTGAAATTCACTAAAGTAGTCGGGCTTCACCTGAAAATGTACAGTTTTAGGCCAGGTTATTACTGCCAGTTATCGTTTGTGCTTTTTGTCTCTATTGCTTATTTTTCATTTCGTGGTTGTTGTAATTTTTGGAAGTCATTTAGTTTGCTGAATAACTTTAAAAATCTTTAGGAAATTTTCTGGCGAAATACGGCTGTCGAGTGTGGTCTTAAGCGGGAAATAGTTCTGTAGAGTGAATTATACGAATTTGAATTTTTAAGATTTTTTGTAGAAGAGCATGGATCACTTTTAGAATAATGCCTTTTCAAACTTTGCATGAGCTTTCGCTTGCGTTTTCCCCTTTTTTCAATTGAAACTTTTGACAGTCTATAATCACTTTCAGCACGAAGGTAATGCTTTAGACATTACATTGGGCTCGTTTCTTCATATTTTTTTAACTTTCTTATCTTCCCTAATTATCTTTCATACTTCTACATTTGGGTTTCCACTTTTTTCTACAGCACTATTGTACATCACTACATACACTTACTGCTTTTTTCAGTTGCGGCATTTTCAAATTCGTGCCTTACAAACCAGTAATTTTTTTAGTCCAACAGTTTATAATTTTAACCGTTAATGCCTTTTAGAAGATTCCTTCCAGGAAGTTCTGTTTTTTGTTTTACTTCCCGTAACTTTGCTTTGTGTTACTTCGCTTACCAGCAATCTTTCATGGGTTTGTCTGTGTTGTGATTAAGTTAGAGTCATGTCTTTCGTTGATCGTCGCTTACCCATTCCGTGGTCATTATATTCTTTCTTTTTGTTACCTTTTGTTACGTTGAATGGCATCTGTAGGGTTGAATTCTTGCCTTATTTGTATAGCTTTTTGTACTTTTTTTTCTGCTGTTCTTGAAGAACTTCATGCTTTGTTGTTCAAAAAATTAAATTAGATTTTCGGCTATCTGTGTCGGCATTTGACCGACACGATGTTGGTCTTAGGTTTGTCGTATTTTCATCTCACTCGAACAACTCCTTAACTTCTGTTGATGAAGGAATTGTTTTGAATTAACTGCCAGAACTTACTCTCTGCTTCTTACTTCGCGACCACTAATTTGTTCTTTCACAACTAACTGAGTTTTTTCTGAATTAGTTGGGTATTTTAACTTTTCATTATATCATTTCGTTGTTTTGCTTGTCAAGAAGTTCTCCGGTTGTGGATGTTTCTTTTATTTTCTTGTTACCCTGGCCACTGTTTCATTTTTTTTTTTTTT